CTCTCAGTAATGACATGAATCAGGATGAAATGATCAGCTCACAGCAGAGGAAGGATTAAAGTGCTCTTACATAAAAGCCCGAAGCTTCACTTTCTGCCACTGTTTAGGTGTCTGCTGCAGCCGGATTAATAACAACCACGCATTTCAGTGTAACCTCTACCTTATTCCAACATATACAGTAGGTATGTAGGTAGCACCATGTGAATGTGACAGCAAAAACAACAGGGTCAGGGTTCAGAATGATAAGGCAGACTCACTCTGTTATTATGAACAGTCTACAGTATCTATAAGAGGTGCAGGAGATATCTCAGAGGTAAATCCGGAGTTTAAGGAGTTTAAAATATATTGGTAATGTTGTTCTTAATATGGGCCTTGGAGGAGACAGATTTGTACCCAGAGATGCTGGGACTTTGTGTGTGTGAAACAGCCAGAACCCAGAGGAGCTAATCGTCAGCCACATGTGGTAGGAAGTCATATGAGGAAATCTAGGTGGTCTGCATATAGAACATGGGAAAGCAGACATTGTGGCAGAGGTTAGTGGCAAACCCAGGTTCACACAGACCTGTTTGACTGGAAGAACAATGAGGTTCACACATGATTCATCCCGGTGCTCTTCCTAGACGCCAGCAAGCTATACTTCTCCACCACAGGAAAAGATGCTACTGTGTGTGTGTGGGACCTCCGCCACTGGGTCCACTTCCCCTTCCTAGTGCGTTTGCAGGGCTCACAGTGTACGGCTCTAAAGAAAGCTCTCTTCCTGCTGACATTTACAGCAGATAATACTTTAAAGTTTTGAGGCAGCGCTTGATGGATGCACTGCCTCTCTGAGGTTAATGGACACTCACATTTATAGCAACGGTGCTGTGGACTGCGTATGGCCTCGAGCCAAGTCCAGGAGGCCAGTTTTCAAACATGTAAGCACTCTTCCACTCTCATGCACCTAACTGAAGCCTGGAAAGTAAATGTGCCATGACAGCGACTCTGCATCACAATACATTCCAGCAGCTCCCCCAAATAGTCACATGGCCCCTTTTCATCCCCAACACAAGCACAAATAAACGGCGGGTGGAAACACAAGAGGGGCTCTTGCACTCACACTTATCGCCTTGGAAGTGATCTGAGCAGCTACCTTCTTCTAAAGCGCTCAGTAAAGTTTCTCTTGTTAAAACATGCCCGATCCTTTCCCTGCCAGAGAGCTGTTAATCCCGGCAAGGCTGCGTGCCCCTAATTCCCAGAAAGCTGGAACCTGCCGTTTGTTTATGTTTAGCTACAAGTACTGGATACCACAAGTAAAAGCATTCCCCTTGCTTTCAGTGCCACAAGAAAAGAAAAAAAGTTCTATGTGAAACATGTGCCTGCAAGTCTGAAATCAAAACTAAAATCAAAGTGTGATATCAAACAGTCGCAAAGTGGTGTCTTTCTTACACTATCCACTGGATTTCTGAAGCCCACATGCCACAGTATATACAGAAGTTGGTGATTATGGGTGTTCAATAAGAGACCCCATTGTGCTGATGAGTACATCGTAACAAAATCCACCTCAGTGCCCAGTGCTGTTAAAGGACTCATCAGTAAACAATGGGCACAGATTACAGTTAAGAGTCTTATTATTATCTCTTTTATCCAAGGTTAAGACTGCACAACACCTGCTGCTCCACTTGGACCTTTTGCCTACATCATCATATCCTTGCAGATTGAAGGAAACACCAGTGAGGCAGTCTGCTCAGAAATACAGACTATTATGTATATGAAGAGGGAAATATCCCATTTGAAAGACAGCAGCTGACAAGTCTTCACTGTTTGTGTAGGCAAACTCATCTCTCAAAAGCAAGAGTGAAGGTGATAGCTCATGGGATGTGCTGGGATTTATGGAAAAGGTATTCTGCAAAGCTCTCCTCCAGACTTTGGTGTTAACAACATGAAAGCATGGATCCACCTTGCCTTGTAGCAACGGTTCAGGCTGCTGGTGGTGTAATGGTGTGGGGGATATTTTCTTGGCACACTTTGGGCCCCTTAGGACCAACTGAGGATTGTTTAAACAAGACAGTCTACCTGAGTATTGTTGTCGACCATGTCCATCCCTTTATGACCACAGTGTACCCGTCTTCTGATGGCTACTTCCAGCAGGATAATGCACCATGTCACGAAAGTCAAGTCAGCTTAAATTGGTTTCTTGAACATGACAATGACTTCATTGTACTCCAGTGGCCTCCGCTGTCACCAAATCTCAATCCAATAGAGCACCTTTGAGATGTGGTGGAACGGGAGAATCGCAACACAGATGTGCAGCCGACAAATCTGCAGCAACTGCGTGATGCTATCATGTCTATATCTCTATCTATGTAACTCATTTGTAGTGAACAGTATATTGTAGTACATGCTGGTAGTCTCCCCAAAGTATCTACAGCATGCTTCTCATGTTAGATTACATTTGGGGCATAAACTCTTATGCTGTTGTGCAGCGATCACCTCGTTAGTTCAGAGCATTCACACAATAAACGTTAATTTACTGTGCAGACATACAGAATATTCTAAAAAGAAAAGCCTAATCTTGGTAAAATTATTAGCCGATAATCAATATATATTTACAGTAGCTGCTTCCAATGATAACAATTCTAATATTCTGGTCCTTGAATTATTTGATATTGGAGAGAAACTATATTCTGTGGTAACACCAACCCTAGTTAACACTTGTTCAGGGCAAAGCAGGGTCATTGCCTTGTTAAGGATTTCTGCCAGACTTCACTACTGCCTACATGTGGCCACTGAAAGCAAAATACACTGCTCAAAAAAACAAAGGGAACACTAAAATAACACATCCTAGATCTGAATGAATGAAATAATCTCATTAAATACTCCTTTCTTTACATAGTTGAATGTGCTGACAACAAAATCACACAAAAATTATCAATGGAAATCAAATTTATCAACCCATGGAGGTCTGGATTTGGAGTCACACAATCAAAGCGGAAAACCACACTACAGGCCAAACCAACTTTGATGTAATGTCCTTAAAACAAGTTAAAATGAGGCTCAGTAGTGTGTGTGGCCTCCATGTGCCTGTATGACCTCCCTACAACGCCTGGGCTCCTGATGAGGTGGCGGATGGTCTCCTGAGGGATCTCCTCCCAGACCTGGACTAAGGCATCCGCCAACTCCTGGACAGTCTGTGGTGCAACGTGGCGTTGGTGGATGGAGCGAGACATGATGTCCCAGATGTGCTCAATTGCATTCAGGTCTGGGGAACGGGCGGGCCGGTCCATAGCATCAATGCCTTCCTCTTGCAGGAACTGCTGACACACTCCAGCCACATGAGGTCTAGCATTGTGTTGCATTAGGAGGAACCCAGGGCCAACCGCACCAGCATATGGTCTCACAAGGGGTCTGAGGATCTCATCTCGGTACCTAATGGCAGTCAGGCTACCTCTGGCGAGCACATGGAGGGCTGTGCGGCCCCCCAAACCATTACTGACCCACCACCAAACTGGTCATGGAGGATGTTGCAGGCAGCAGAACGTTCTCCACGGCGTCTCCAGACTCTGTCACGTCTGTCACATGTGCTCAGTGTGAACCTGCTTTCATCTGTGAAGAGCACAGGGCACCAGTGGCGAATTTGCCAATCTTGGTGTTCTCTGGCAAATGCCAAACGTCCTGCACGGTGTTGGGCTGTAAGCACAACCTCCACCTGTGGACGTCGGGCCCTTATACCACCCTCATGGAGTCTGTTTCTGACCGTTTGAGCAGACACATGCGCATTTGTGGCCTGCTGGAGGTCATTTTGCAGGGCTCTGGCAGTGCTCCTCCTGCTCCTCCTTCCACAAAGGCGGAGGTAGCGGTCCTGCTGCTGGGTTGTTGCCCTCCTACGGCCTCCTCCACGTCTCTTGGTAGCTCCTCCACGCTCTGGACACTACGCTGACAGACACGGCAAACCTTCTTGCCACAGCTCGCATTGATGTGCCATCCTGGATGAGCTGCACTACCTGAGCCACTTGTGTGGGTTGTAGACTCCGTCTCATGCTACCACTAGAGTGAAAGCACCGCCAGCATTCAAAAGTGACCAAAACATCAGTCAGGAAGCATAGGAACTGAGAAGTGGTCTGTGGTCACCACCTGCAGAACCACTCCTTTATTGGGGGTGTTTTGCTAATTGCCTATAATTTCCACCTGTTGTCTATTCCATTTGCACAACAGCATGTGAAACTGATTGTCAAGGAGGATTCACAGGATTGTGATTGACTTGGAGTTACATTGTGTTGTTTAAGTGTTCCCTTTATTTTTTTGAGCAGTGTACGATTAGGTCTGTGCATTAATAACAGCTAAGTATATACAGTGTGTAGGTGGAGAAAAGCATTAGAGCCACTCTGAAGGCAGGATTACTAAAACAAACAAACAAACCAAAAGTCTAGCATTATGAACAGTAAGTAAAAGCTAACAGGAACACAAACTGTTAAATGTAATGGAATCTAATGGGATCTAGCAGCCATTCAATGTAGGATACCCATTTTAAAACACTAAAAGAATTATTAGTTGGTTACTTGTAGGGGAACAAACCCTGATCACTCAATTAGCTCTGGATGAATCAACACGTATGGTAAACAACCCCAAACCCACAGAGGCAAAATCAAACATTTCATTGTACAATAAACCTTTAATAAATAGTTTGTCATTAGTTTCCCATATTTACATAATAACCACCATTTACTTATGTTGCCATACTCATTTCTTGGCTAATTTTAGGCACACAGAGAGGGGGTTCAGGCCACAAACCACATCATACTAAAAACAGGAGTGGCTAGCAGGTAAGTCTTGAGAAATATGTAATAATTGCACCATACAACCAAATAGACCGAGAATAGACCGAGAGGTGGCCATCTGCTTGAGCAATAAATATATACATTTGCTGTACGTACAGGTGATTTTTGTACATCTGAAGCTGTACGAGTACACCTGGGGCTGGTGCAGAATCTTACCAATTGAAGTAGGATCTGAATTTATGGGTTTATCTATGTGTTGGTCCAATAAATGATAAATAATACAAAAAAATAATGATATTCAGAAATTAAATCCACACAAATGACCTCTTGTCTAGTAACACCCCCTCTGAAATAATAAAAACTATGACAGGTTAAGTCAAAATGTTGAGCGTGTAGCGTGGTCAACATGTACAGCTTGGCTTGGAACATTCAGCGACTTTTGTTATGAACTACTGATAAATCTGGGAAAAATTAGCTTATCAAATGTAACTAACCACGGTGAAATGCTTGTTATCAAATGAAGCCTGAAGACAGACAGATGGACATTCGATAATTTACCATCTAGCCACAATGTTCAAAAGATGCCTAAAAATGACTGGACAAAGTTTTAAAAAGCTATAAAAAAATAGCGTTAAAACTTAAACCTTCAGCCAAAGAAATTAAGACGAGAAAACAAAAAATATCCAAATCACTCAAGTACGCAAACACACATACACACACACAGTATGAAAAAGCAAACCAATATTTTTTTGGCACAAAATATATATGACGTACATTTCTCTTCAGACAGATGTTTAACAGCATGAAACTCTTTTGGCTACTAATCCGTATCAGGTTGTAATTTGGCTATTTAAACGCACTTGAGGCATTTCTAAATGAAATGTTAAAAATTACAACAAGGATCATTTACCAGTTGCTGACACAGTATGTGAACAACAGGAACACACAGTCACTGATGCGAAGCACCTAAAGTATATTATCCAATTACGGGGATGCAGCACCAGCAGCTTCAGACCTGCTTTTTCCAAGTTCAACCTGGACCACCTATTGGCAAGAAAAGTAACAGCTGCAGTTCAGACCAGCAGGTAGGCATGCTGATGTGCATCATCTAACTATAATAGATGCTGCACTTTGACACTTGCAAGCTCATTTCAAGTGTGCATATTTGAGGTTTTACATTTTATTTTATTTGTTAAGTGGGTCATATTTACTAATGCATTTTTGGACAACTACACAGTTCAAAAGCTCTCAATCATGTAACCTCTGAGCTCAAGTACCATCCTCTTGGGTACTTTGTAGATTTACATTTTTAGATTAATTATCCACTGAAGGGTAGAAGGGAGGACAAAATCTGTCATTTTAAATCTTGAACCTAGAGTGACATTAATGAATATTTTTACTTTATCGTACCTGTGGAAAATGTAAAACCGTAAAAATACTCAAAACACATCAGCTTTTAAAAAGGAACATCTGCAGATGTAATATTTGCTAAAATTGCAGCTGTTACATTGCTTACCTGTACAGGGCAACATTGTTTTTATCTACAAGTCCGAACTACTGCTGCAACTGCCCCCCTATAGTTGGCGCAGGTTGGCCTGTATAGTACTGGTCTGACATAACCACATATCTCCCCCTTGTGGAGTATCTGAAGCATGTTAAATGTGAGATTGTGAGTTACAAGCCAATTCCACCAGGTGCTTCTCATGTAGCCTACAATATCTACCATCTGTTAGTTACTGTTTAAGAAATGTGCAGTGCCCGTTATAAACATTTGTACTGGAGCTTAAATGTCAAGGATTCTGTGAAACCGTTTCAAAGTTCATGCCCAATTGCCACTGAAGAAATCTTTATCCCCCACATTACACCACACGTAGCCTTTGAATTATCTACTGCAGCAGCATGAGTGATATTCTGATCAACCTACTGATATTAATTCAAAGACGCCATATTAACAGTCAGTGCCAACACTGACATGCTGATAGCAACGCTCTAGCTCCAAATGGTCCAGAGGTTTTTACAATAAAACCAATGTTAAGCCTTAACCCTGATGGTGATTAATGTCAGGAAACAAACGGGAAGGGCATGAAAACAAAAAGGAATAAAAAGTGTGTAATGGCTCCGATGGGAGCAATAGCGTAAGATTACAGAGCCTTCTCAGACCTCGGTCTTCATACAGGTTACGTAATTAATATATATATAAATAAATATATATATATTAAGTCACTTTGAGGCAACATTTGTTTCTTGAATAAGAAGTTGAAGCACAACTAGACTTCAGTTTGAACAGAGAAAAATATACAACTCAAACTGTACGACTTATCTTGAGAATGGCAAGTAAACATTGAAAAACAGTTTCAGCTAATAAAGTGGTCTTTCTCACACACGTCTCTGTAAGAAGTGTGATGTTTAAACAAAGTGTGGTCTTACGAAGCTTTTTATATCTGAACTGGTTGACCCATCCTAACCTAGATTAGGCAGCGCCTCTCCAACACTCATCTGCGGAGACTCCCCTCACAGGTATACTGTTGCTGTGCTTCGCCGCCAAGCACACAGAGGAAGAACTGTGTTCCTTTCTTGGATGCTGTAACAGAGCTGTCGCAACGACAAGCATCAGAACAGATGTTACCTTATGAAAAACCAAGTGCTCAACTGTTACATTCTCATTGGACAAACAGACAAAGTTGCCACTGGCTACAGAGGAATATGAAGAGTCACACAGGGATTTAGTAACATCTGAGATATAACCCACTCACACTCTAAACCAAATCACTTCTGTTCTGTTTTGCCCCGGAAGGGGCGGGGGTATGCTCCACTCTGTTACTGCTTTATAGAAACCAAGGATTAGAGTCCAACTCAGCTGTGTCTCACACACACCTTTCCACTGCAGCCCGAAAAATACTCAACACAACTCTCTTTACAGGGTCTTTAGAGAGTCCTCACAATACCCTGCTTTAAAAAAGAAAAAGGGCCGCTAAGGGAGGAGTGCCCACTTTTGTGCTGTGGACACAAACACCTTTTCATGGCACCTTTTCAAGTCTGATGTGTGCCTGAGGTGAGTGTGTGTGTCCATGTGGTAAGATGTATAAGTATCTGTCCATGTGTGTGGGAGGGTGTTTGGTTGGAGCGAGGGTGTCTGCCCACCCCAAGCTGAGGTTATACGCTGCTGTCCTCCAGCAGTGGCTCCTTGCCCTCGGCCCCGCTGCCTTGAGGGCTGTGGGAGTGACTCTGTGCCCCGTTGCTGTGCTTCTTATAGGCGCCAGGCCTCATGCCGGGCCCCGTGTGCTCCGGGATAAACAGGGCCACCAGCAGAGACAGCAGCACTGAGCATGCACCAAACAGGAAGGGCGGACCCGGGATGATGGCACTCTGAAGGGACGACAGAAGAAAATATTTTACCATTTGTGCTTGTATCGTGTAACTGACTTAAATGCTATTTTTCATTCACGCTCACCTCATCTGTGGGGTTGGCCATGTTGGATTTGGCACCTTTCTCAGAGCCGTCCGTGTCAGTCAGCTCCACGTGGAACAGGTAGAAGACAAAACCATAAAGAGCAGGGCCCAAACCGTTACACAGGCCCCGAATTCCAGTAATCATCCCCTGGACAACACCTATAGGCAGATAGATATAAACAGAACACAGTCAGGAAAATCTATAAATATCGGTTAAAAATTATGAATCAATGTAGGCATATTTCAGAGTCAACTGGATATCTACTTTACAGATATGTACAGATGTGTCTTTATCCCTCCTCTTTCTAGTAGATTAGTCTGCAATAAGTGTCACAGACTCAACAAATGGAAAGGGCTAGGGATAGAAGTTCAATAAATGTGCGTCTTGCACATAGAACAGAAAACCCAACACAACTTAATTTGGCATCGATTGCAAGTCTTGTTCACTTATCTAGTGATGAACTATTTAAAGACGTCATTATTAGGCTCATTTTCAGGTTCAAAATCTTATTTAGGGGTTGTCCCAGAACACTTTTACATGGTTTCATTTTCTAAAAAAACACCATATTTTTCGCCATACTGCACATTGCTGCAGCTCCTCTTTTCACCCCGTGTTGAACGCTGATCGTTTTAGCAATGGAGTGATACATCTTACCTTTACAAGATACAAGATGTTGGGAGTTGCACATGCGCAGTTCCTAGTTAAGGACAACTAGTAAATCAGAAGCAGAGTAGGCTTCGGTTCAGCTATATATGTTCCAGTTACAGTGTATTTTGCTGCGACGTCGCAGCAAAGCAGAAGTGAAGACCAGAGTTTTTTGTGTGAGATGGGAACTCCCTTTGCGGTGGACTTTGGGCTTTTTCACTTTGCAAGCCTATTACATGCACAATAAAGATATTTAACTCAATAAAAGCATAATATGACCTCTTTAAATATCACTTTGGCTAAATTTAGACATTTTATGTTTATTTTTAAGTTCACATACAGCCTTTTGTATTTAGACAAAATCAAGCAGTGATGCATGCTGATTTTATTAAATTGAAGGTGATAGATGTTGAAGATGTATAAACTTGCCTTGTTGGTCAGGGTCTGCATTACGGGACACAATGGCGCTGATAGCAGGGAAAGTGATGCTGGACATGGCTGCAACTGCTCCAGCAGCCCACATCATCCTACAACCAACAACACACATTTGTTAAGGACAAAAACAAAATCCTATTTGGCCTTTCAAAAAGTTGCCAACTTGGCCTACGGGAAATTGTGAAGAGCAATTTTTTTTTCCCTGCCATTTTATTGACAAAACGATTAAAACACTAAAACTCCAAACATGAGGTGGGAATGGCTCAATATAACATGTAATCTATAGCAAATGTGTATTTTTTTTTCAGTACCTGAGCTAACATTAAGAGGACCCCCACAACAGGCACGTATAATACTGTTTTTTAATTTTATACATGCCCTTAAAGGTGAATTAAAAGCTTGTTAAGCCTACTATGGTTGTTAAGTCTACTATCCATTTCTGTAATCAAACTGCAGCTATAAACAAGCAGTGACTTTAAAGTCCAAAATGTCTAATCTAATTTTAGATTAGATTTGACAGTTGTACTTTCTATTCCATTTATGAAAACCATGACAACAATGACCAGTTGTATGTTTTCCACCATGAATTGACTGCTTTAGATGTTTGTACTACTTAGTTTCTTTTTGTAAACATGGAAAGGTCTCTCACCTTAATATATGTTAAGGCCAACTTGACCTTTGTTTAACTTAATTTCCTGGGTATTGACCAAAGCAGAGAGGAGCAACAAGGAGACATGTTGTAAATGTTTTCTTTCAGAATCAATAGATATTATGTCGCTCTGCCTTTCACTCCAGGCCAAAACAACAAGAGAAAGTGGAGGGGTTGTTATGATCTCACCTCAACAGAAATGAAACTGATAATATGGCCTGTGTGGGTGGTGGTTGTTTGGGAAAACCACCTTTCTTCCTATTTACATGTTTAAAGCGACTAAGGTGTTTTGCTTTCAAAAATCATGTTTCAAAGACACTGCCTCTCAAACCAGAAGTCCCAAAAAAATTAAATAGACTGTGCATATGTTTCAGCTGCTCACAATTTAGATTAGTCAAACAAAAGCTTTCAAGTTACAACATTACTTGATCTCTTTATAAAGAGTATCAGTTATCAGATTACAGTGTAATGACCTTGCTGGTGACAATACCATTGATTAAGGCTTTGCTCCCCTCTGCTGGTTTTTCAGGGCATTACAACAACTGTGGACAATAAAAGATTTATAGGAAAAATGAATAAAAGATGACAATAGTGCTCATACATGTGCAGTGTTCACTGAGGGATTGATCCTGAAACACATAGGGTTGGTTGTCATTTAGATTTGATTGATTTTGATTGTCTGAGCTGTAATCCCACTGTGCTTCAAGTTAAATTAAAATTAAACCAAAATTCACTGAAAGTTGCACATCTTCAGCAAATTTGAATCCCAAAACATTTGTCACTTCTTTTAAAATTAAATATTTACTGTTTTACTGGGGCTGAATGAGCCACCATCTGATTCAGTGACATTATGACTATGACTGTGGTTTCGCATTATGCTGCAGGAAATGCTTTGTCATTTTAGACAAACTTCCTTCATTCCTTGCTTGAATTTTATTCACAGAGTGACTACATTTCACTGTAGCACTACCATTTTTTGAGAAGCCAATCTACACTTTTGAACCTGAGCTCCATGGATACATGCTTAACAAGTGATGCAGACGGAAGCAATCAAGGGCGGATTTGAAAAGCACACTTTTCATGAATTTCTGGTTCTTAGTGTGTGGGGTCTCTTTCCCTTTCAATTAATGTAATGGTGTGTGTGTGTTAAGAGACAAGGTGTGACAGTTACTTACCAGGGCTGAGAGCCAAAGCCATACCACGCAAGCTGGAGGATCTGGAAGCCTAAGCCGAGCAGGATTGTGTTTTTATTTCCTATGGAACGCATCAGGATGCCCAACACCACAGTCTAAGAAAAAACAAAGCATGCTGGTCATACTAGACATCTCTAGGGAGGCAATAAAAATGTAGCAAATACTTCATTTCATTTAATCACTCTTCCGTCTCAACTCCAACACCGAGTTGAAACAATTAATTGATTAACTGATGGACAGAAAAATGTATCTAACAATATTTTAACTAAATGTTAAGAGTTGCTGCTTTTCTTCGTCTTCTCTGACAGTCAACTGAATAACTGGGTTGTTTTTGGGACAAAATAAGCAATTTGTTATTTCTGTCCACTCTGTACACACAACATCCATCACTTGTCTGTTCATCCTGGACGAGGGAGCCATTCTCTGTTGCTCTTCTTGAAGCTACTTCCTTTTATCCCTGTTAAAGTTTCTCCCCCCTTATCCAAACCATTGATCTAAAAACAGAGGGTGTGGTATGATGTATAGATTGTAAAGCACTTTGAAACTTTGCAACTTGGAGATATACCAAATACTTCAAGTTCTCAACAAGGGCTCTGGGAAATTGCGATGGGCATTTGCTCATGCTGTATTAAGAAAGAAACTAAAGACTCCAGACTCCACAAGGAGAAGATGGCTCAAAATTACATGCAAATGTGTATATTTGTTTCCCAGTACCTGTGCTAGTATTGAGAGGATCCCCACAACAGCGATAAAGGCAGCCACTGTCTCTGATGTGAAGCCTATGACCTGAGGGTGAGATAGTTCAGATTTCACAGGTTAAACCATGACAGGGTTCCTACACATTTTACATTTCAAAATTTTACATTTCAAAAATCCATACTTTTCCAAACTCAGTTGTGAACAATTGGCAACAGTTTTGGAAATCTTGGGGCCATGGTGAAAGTGTTTGGTGTGCACATGTTGGAGTTGGAGCTTTCCCTGGTAGGATTATCCTTTGGGATTCGTTGATAAAATCTTAGTAGTGTTGGTGAGCACGATGAGAGCAGTTGTCTCGTGGGCAGATCCCTTTCTCGCTCTGGTGGGTATTTAGTGCATAATTACCCACTGTAAGTAACTGCATGACGACTAGGCTTGAGATTAATACGCTTCTGAGTAGGTAGTTAGTGGGACGGCTCTAATTTTATTTTATTTTTGCACACCAGATTCTGTCTTGTTGTGGCCACTGTTCCTACCTTTGTTCGGTCTCCGTCTGAGGAGCTTTTGAATAGTTGTACAAAAGATGAACTTTTGAAGCTCATTGAGCATTATGATTCTCGCGTTGGAGCAAAAAAAGTTAAGAAAATTAAAAAGAGAAAAAAAAAAAAAAAAAAGTAGTACTGAGGGCTGCTCTAATGGAAAATGGTGTTCTGCCAGCTACAATGCAGAGTCGACATGACAGTGTTGGTGAGTTTGACGTCTGAAGAGCTGTTGCGGTTGCAAATGTTAAGGGATAAATTGGGCATAGAAAAGGAATGGCTAAGGCAGTCATTGGAAATGGAAAAACTAGAGTTACAGCAGTACCGATTAGATCTAATTAAGGCAAGTAAGCTGACAAGTAATGCTGATAGTAGTGTGTTCAGATGAGTCTACAGTATCTGTTTCACAAAGTGTGGAAATGTTTAATGTGGCGGGCAAATTGCGTCTAGTAACAAAGTTTGACATGAGGGACCCAGACATTTTTTCCCCTCCCTTCTTGAACGGGTCGGCAACGTGAGAGAGGTTGGCCTGAAGTAGGGATGAAACGATTACCGGTTTAACGATAAACCATGGTAAAATTCCCAACAGTTATTATTACCATACACATTTTAATTACCATGATAAAATGGGTTAGATTACCGTGCTATTATAAACTCACCGCAAAGTCCAGCATCAACCAAAGTTAGCGACAGTCTCCCAGAAGCAGGCGTGCATGCGCAATATGCAACGTGGGTTTGTTTGGGTCAATGAGAATATATCGGATGACAGCGCTGCGGAGATTTTTCAGTCACTCTGAAGTCTGGTTAAATGTTAGTTTTTGAGAGGGCTGAAAGACCTTATAGTAAACGCAGGGTGAGTTTTTGTCAGACAGACAAAACAAAGCTTTGTTTTGTCTGTCTGACTTGCTAACAGCTTGTAAACTGAAGCTCTCAGTGTTAGCAAGTTTTTCTGCAATGAAATTTTCATACCGTTTCATCCCTAGCATGAAGTCCGCGCGGCTAAATTTTCTTGGTCGGAGTTAGCAAAGATGAATCATGGTCTGTGTTCATTCTTATAAACTTATTCTCTTGATGAGTATTTGTTTGCCACCCCAATATTTTTAGTGGTCCCATTTTGGGGCACCGATGTGCTCTGGCCCATGCTGTCTCACACGGAGTTAAACATTTTGACTGTACTGGCTGCATGCACCAAATGCCATGAAAAAACACAATAGGGGTGCAAACACATTTTTCCCCCCATACTTCTATAGACCAGGAACTAAAATCAAATTCCATACTGTGTAGGGACTCTGACATGACCAGACAAGACAAGCATAGTCAGACACACACAAACACAGTCACAAACACTTCACCCATCTGAATCTTTGCCACAAAAAGGGGGCAGGAAAGTGTGTAGAGTATGTATTTATTTATATTTAAATATATATTTTTTATCTCCAACTACTTTGCTGCCTTTTTCAAGATCGTAGCAGAAAAGTATGAGACTGTTTGTATGTCAGATAGGCTGACTGGTTAATCTGACACTGTTTTATGGCTTCCCCCCATTAGCGGACTAAATGTTTGACCCCTAAATGTTCCCCATACGTTCATTTATTTGTGGCGGCCCGCCACAATATCAACGCTGACCGCCACATTGATTTTCGATTGTTTTTTCACTAGGCCTATTTAAAATTGTATTTGATTGCACAGCGCTGTAGCGCAGCACACTCTCTCGCTCGTCTTTCTCGCTCTCTCTCGCTCATATACTAAAAAAGGAATGGCTTTTCCAATTATCTCAATTAAATCCATTTTACACTCAAACATCTAACACCACAGAGAAAGGGGCTGTTGGTGTTGAATACACTTTACAATGGAATCCTAAAATAACAATTCAATGACATATTTGGATGAGTAGATGCTATGACATGTGGTGGTAAGTGTACATGATGAGTCTAAATGATGTTTGTGTGTATAATCATTCTTTGTGTGTTTGTGGAGTCGTGTAAGCAGGAAGAGCAGAGTGTTACCTGTCTAAGATAGAGGAAGAAACTGGAGTACTGGCCGGCCTCGGGGAGGTAGGAGAGAAACACTGTGATGCAGATGAGGAGCACCGTGGAGTCCTGGCCCACCTTACGCAGAGACTGTCAAGTGAACAGCAAGAAAAGAAGGAAAGAAAAAATTTACTTGTTATAAAGTTAAATAATTTGAAACATGAGCAATGGTCAGGAATTCTTGACATGCTGACTTACCACTGTCTCTTAATTCACCCTTACGTAATAAAAGACCTCTGCTGCCTGCTTCTGCTGTCCTGCTCTAATAACCATTCATAGTTTAACCATCATGCTGATGAGGCTATGTAAGAAAATTCAAATTTCAATTTGCATAATACGCTATTTATGTCAATACAGGTGCTGGTCATTATAATTAGAATATCATCAAAAAGTTCAAAAAGTGAAACTTGGATATTATATTCATTAATTACACACAAACTGACATATTTCAAATGTTTATTTAATTTAATTGTGATGATTATAACTGACAACTAATGAAAATCCCAAATTCAGTATCTCCGAAAATTTGAATATTACTTAAGACCAATACAAAAAAAAGGATTTTTAGAAATATTGGCCAACTGAAAAGTATGAACATGAAAAGTATGAGCATGTACAGCACTCAATACTTAGTTGGGGCTCCTTTTGCCTGAATTACTGCAGCAATGCAGCGTGGCATGGAGTCGATCAGTCTGTGGCACTGCTCAGGTGTTATGAGAGCCCAGGTTGCTCTGATAGTGGCCTTCAGCTCTTCTGCATTGTTGGGTCTGGCGTATCGCATCTTCCTCTTCACAATACCCCATAGATTTTCTATAGGGTTATGGTCAGGCGAGTTTGCTGGCCAATTAAGAACAGGGATACCATGGTCCTTAAACCAGGTACTGGTAGCTTTGTCACTGTGTGTAGGTGCCAAGTCCTGTTGGAAAATGAAATCTGCATCTCCATAAAGTTGGTCAGCAGCAGGAAGCATGAAGTGCTCTAAAACTTCCTGGTAGACGGCTGCGTTGACCTTGGACCTCAGAAAACACAGTGGACCAACACCAGCAGATGACATGGCAAAAAACAACACTGACTATGGAAACTTTACACTGGACTTCAAGCAACGTGGATTCTGTGCCTCTCCTCTCTTCCTCCAGACTCTGGGACCTTGATTTCCAAAGGAAATGCAAAATTTACTTTCATCAGAGAACATAACTTTGGACCACTCAGCAGCAGTTCAGTCCTTTTTGTCTTTAGCCCAGGTGAGACGCTTCTGACGCTGTGTCTTGTTCAAGAGTGGCTTGACACAACGAATGTGACAGCTGAAATGTCTTGCATACGTCTGTGCGTGGTGGTTCTTGAAGCACTGACTCCAGCTGCAGTCCACTCTTTGTGAATCTCCCCCACATTTTTGAATGGGTTTTTGTTTCACAATCCTCTCCAGGGTGCGGTTATCCCTATTGCTTGTACACTTTTTTCTACCACATCTTTTCCTTCCCTTCGCCTCTCTATTAATGTGCTTGGACACAGAGCTCTGTGAACAGCCCGCCTCTTTAGCAATGACCTTCTGTGTCTTGCCCTCCTTGTGCAAGGTGTCAATGGTCGTCTTTTGGACAGCTGTCAAGTCAGCAGTCTTCCCCATGATTGTTTAGCCTACAGAACTAGACTGAGAGACTATTTAAAGGCCTTTGCAGGTGTTTTGAGTTAATTAGCTGATTAGAGTGTGGCACCAGGTGTCTTCAATATTGAACCTTTTCACAATATTCTAATTTTCTGGGATACTGATTTTGGGGTTTTCATTAGTTGTCAGTTATGATCATCAAAATTAAAAGGAATGAACACTTGAAATATATCAGTCTGTGTGGAATGAATGTATACATTATACAAGTTTCACTTTTTGAATGGAATTACTGAAATAAATCAACTTTTTGATGATATTCTAATTATATGACCGGCACCTGTATAACTGTCTTCAAAAACCATGGGTGTTACTAATATGAACTGTCCATTAGAAGATAGGCTCACATTTCTATTTCACTCTGCAAGCCTGTTTTACTCACAGGCCCTTGTGTACACTGAAACAGGTTTTCATCATTTCTCCTGATCATTCTGGTTATTCAACTATCCCTTCTCAACATAGATCCACTGTAAGAGACTGTAAGATCCACTGTAAGATAATTCTATTGTCCATGTTCTGTGCAAAAATACATACCAAAGTTTTTCTAAAGTTAGTATGAGGCCTCAACATCTTCCAAAGTTAAAGTTCTTTTTGTTTCTCTGGACAGTGTTTTCCTGCTGCGGTGGAAGGACAGTAAGAAAAAGAAGGAATTCCATACTAAAAGACAACTGGAAGATGACTTGATTTGTCACAGAGTGCTGACTATTGTCTTTAGATAAACTTTGAAATTTATTGAGGACTGTGGACTGTGTCCCTCATCACTTAACATTAGGAACAAATTGGGAAGGTATTGGGGGTGGTGATGGCGCACTGGATAAGACACATGCCTTCGGTGCGAGAGAGGTTTGAATCCACTGTGAGACACCATTGTGTCCCTGAGCAAGACACTTAACCCCTACTTGCTCCAGAGGCGTGCAAGCTATGACATATATAGCAATTGTAGACCACTTTAGATAAAATGTAAATTTTAATGAGCAGTATATACAGGAAAAATGATTAGTGAACACAATATGTTTCAGTGTACAGATGGGCACCTGTGCTTTGTGGCAGATTTAAAAATTGTCAACTTTTGTCCCTGCTTACCTCCAGTGATTTAATTTTTCATCTTGCTGCACTTTGCTCCATCTTTCTTATACTTTTTAGCCTGCTATGTTTATTGTTAAGCACCAAAGCAAATTCTTTGCATTTTATTAATATTTTAACAGTAAAGTCCCATTGAGACACAGTCTCTTTTACAAGGGAGTCCTGTAAAAAGTATGTGTAAACCTATTTGTCAATAAAGCTGATCCTCATTACAGATTCAAGAGAGCACACGTCTGACCACGCCTAGCAGTGATGCTGGTTGTGGTCAGAGGTAAAACAGGCTTGAAACTTTAATCCAGAGAGGGCAACCGCCCCCGCCTCAAAAGCTTAACCTTAAAAGGCATTAAACACTATTGGCTGATAAAACACAGCAATTAACTGATGTTTGGCTGGAAACAACCTGCGCACAATACCGGACCATAACTGACTAAAAATGATCAACAAAGACTATTATGTTGTTACTCACAGCGAAGGGGTCTGCCTGTTCCCAGGAGATGGGTGCTCCCCATGATGCTGGCCTCATCTTCTCCGGAAGTGACTCCGGTACGGCCACCAGAATGAAGCAGATGTCAAGCAGTGCAATGGCTGTGGCCAGGATCACCACCAAGGTGTCACCGTAGGCAACAGACAGATAGGCTCCGATGGCCGGGCTGGTGACCAGGCTGGCCGCAAAGGTAGCCGATACCTGGAGGGACACACATAGCTGAGGTCAGAGAAACACGAAGTGATAGAACTTTAACCATTTTTACTTTCTGGTTAAAAGTTTTTAAAAAAGATAATTAACAAATAAAAAGAATGATTCTTCACCAATGGCTTCACTGGATTACATAATCATTCTGGAGGTGTTTAACAAAAACATTTTAACAGGAACCTGTTTTGGTCAACCATCTCCTTACCAAACCGTATGCTGTGCTCCTCTCATGTTCCTGTGTGATATCTGCCACATAGGCAAAGATCACAGAGAAGGTGACGGCAAAGACACCGGACATGGAGATGACCGCAAAGTACCACCTGAAAGAAGAGAATGGTTTGGCTTTTCAGCACAGATAAACTAAAATGAGAAAACCTAAATGTTATTACATTGTAAATTCCACCTTTGTAGAGTTTATAACATGTAATAATTTATAATATTATAAACTGTATAGAGTGGTCAATGTTTTGCACTCACCATGGGCTGATCTTCATTAGTGGAATGGGCGCGCATGTGAAGAAGACTGTAAGCAGCAAGAAGGACTTGCGGCCCCATACGTCTGACAACGCTCCAATCAGTGGCGCACTCAGAAACGATAATAGGCCCTGGAAAGGGTGGGGAGAGAGAGTTGGGGGAAGGACATGGCACAGAAAGATTGGTGGATGTATCAGGAAAGTGCTGTAAATTGATAACTTGAGTGAAGTTACCACTCATAGATTCACAGGGACTATGATTTGAGAACATGCACACACTCCGCAAACAAACCAGTTTGGTAGAGGGTAATTTAAAAACGTTACTATAATCTATGCATGAAACTGCTCTTATGGCTAACTCTTAGGTGGAACATGAACACCACTCACATCTAAAAGCTTTAAGTGTGATTTTTACTTCTGCGTCGGGTCTACACCGTAGCTTATAGCGTAAGCTACACACGCAGCCGTGCATTTATACTTGTGCATCGGTGTCTATGTCATTCTGCAATTACACTGCCAAACGCTAGTAGGCGGTAGTGCTACAGCGTCCACAGTGTTGACTTTTGCCGGCCGAGCAGTCTAACTTCCCTCCAGCTAACTTGAACAGGGGTAAAATTAAATACGCGCGGCTATTATAGATGTTTGAAATGTTATGGACAGAATGGACCACATTCTGATAGAGAAACAAGTCATTTCGCTTGGGTTGTGGTGCTCAAATATATTGATCCACCGCTTGACTAGCTGCTAGTAAAATTTACTTCCAAGCACGAAGCACTTCCTGTCGGCTCCGAAGCATTGCGAGGCTACCCAGCCGACCAATCACAGTTCTTACGGTCCGCGTTGCCCCGAAGTGTAGTTACATTTTTGAAGAGGTGCACGTTAGGCTACGGCGTAGGATACAGCAGAGGGTAACGGGGCCTCGCATAGGCTCCGCTGTTGATTCAACACAGAAGTATAAATCAGGCTTTCGTTTGTCTTCTATAGCCATACTGACACAAAGGAAGACAATATCTTTACAACTTTTTTTTTGCTTATAAGTCGATACAGCAATACATGGATATTCTAGCCCATCATATCAATACATAAAATAAATAGCGCTTTGATGGTTAGCTCAATGCTAACATATGATGGGAATCTCCGTTAACGTGCTAACACACATTAGTATAGCGATCGCGATAATATAATCTTAACATAAATTACACATTTTGCTTCACATGCTTAACATCCTGAGTGACATACTGTGCTACTGTACTTAAAGTACATATGTTTCCTGAGCTCTGTTTGAAATAAAAAAAGAGCTGCTAATGTCAGTAGCTTGATCTGCTACTTCTGCACTCCACACTGACTAGCTATAGCAACCCCAAAGGGTCAATACTAAAAACTCAAAATTCCCAGTGGCCTAAAAATACAGCTATCACCAGGTGGAGAAAGGGCATTACAAAGCTGGGTCAATGAACAGTTATTAATATAATGTATTTTCAGCTAAATATTCAGTGAATTCAGCGAATTTGCGTTTGTGCATTTTATTAAGAAATGTTTTTATAATAATTTTTCACAATTGCTCTGTTTTAACTTACAGACTAAAAAACATGTGCTGCAGAATTGTGCTGTTTTCTGACAGTTTGGATTTGCAGCAAATAAATAGAGAAAACTTTTTTTTTTTACTGGCATTTTGTATTCATAGATATCATGATGTATCATTTTAGAGTTGTCTAGCGATATCGCAGAATTGCTGTATCATGACATTGTTATCTTAAGCCATGTATCACGTGGTACCCTGTGATTCCCACTTGTATGGGAAAAGGCAATAAAAAACAAGGGTCTCATGTGAAAATTTGGAGGGTTAGCAAGTATAAGCTAACCTCTGTGGCCTCCATGTTTGCTTCCATGCAATAGTTGTATTCTTCTTTTTGCACATGTGGGTCACTTTTAGGCCATGGCCAGTTCACACTGGAGTCTGATATGGGCCACAATTAAAAAATAATGGGAACAGTAAATAAAAAAAAATTGATTTGGGGAATAAATCGGATTTGAGCATTACGGCCTGCAGTGGGAATGTAATGATAAATTTGTGTCATCAAGTAAAACACATTTCTTACTTTTGTTGTCTTGAAAAGACAAACAAGCCATTATGTTGACAACATAAGATAACATAAGTTGTTTATGGGGGTCAATAATAGATTTGTCAACTCATTTTAGCTTCAGAAAATCTCTTTCGCAGAGTAATTATTTCTTGATGAGAGAATAACAATTTTTTGTCAATATCACAACACCCATAATGATAAGAAAATTGAAAATCTAAAATAATTACAAGCATGTACTCTCAGCTATCTTTAGACACACTTTCTTTTCCCTGAATAAAGACAGTTACAGTGCACATGAGGTACTTCACCCCCAAAGGTGCTTCAACAAGCTGTACTGTGGCCAGCTGGGGAACCTGCTATGGTTACCCAACAGCTTGCAGGTGTTAACATGTCACTGAATTAGTGTCTAGCAGGGCGTCGCTGAACAAGAGCACACAAGCTCAGCAGATCTTCTATGGGCAAATAAAAGCAAGACAAACTAGCCGTGTTGAAGGAGGACATACTGTAGTACTAAAAACACAAAGGGGACGTCCCTGCTGGCCATGAAAAAAAGAATACAATTGCTTATTTATTCCTCCACAGTGCACAGAAATATTTGCAATACCACTTGTTTAAAGTCAATACATTTCAAACAACACAAAGATATTGCTGGTTATTGTGATACTGTCAATAAAGGCTTGAGAAAACGTGCTAACATGCAAGTGGGACTGTGTTTTCTCACTTTGCATGAGTCACTGTTATATTTCTGTCAAGAGTATAGAACCCAGTTATTCTGTTTGTATGTAGTGATGTCTTACCTTTACACCGTGGATAAGCCCATTCATCAGGAATGTGTGTTGGGGGAATGTCTGGTGTAATACCTGAGAGCAAACACAGATAACACCAGATGAAACCATGTTATCCACATAGTCTGCATCACATTTGACATTTCAACAATGACCTTCAGTGGTTTATGTACTTTTCAGAGTTAAACTACAGCTAGGGAGCAAAACAAGTGTGAGGCCACTGGACAAAAATCTACCAAATGACGGAGGGTTGAAACAAAGACTAATCCACAACACCTCTAATTCAATCTCTGAGGCCTATGGCATAACACTACATGCTGCAAATTTTCACTCCAATGAAAGAACTAACAAAATTATATTAATTATACATTGTGCATATCTACATTAAACATAAATATTTGATCTTTAATGTGTTTTCTGAGACCCTCCACAGGGATATGATTTACAGGCTGAGTCATTAAACTGGGCTGGTTTAGGTGTTATTTCATCATCATGCAACGTACATGTAAACACACTTTCACATATTCACCCAGAAAAGACAAACAAAAGCACACCAAAACGTGTAAAATACGGACAAGACATACAGAAAAACAGTGTAATGCACAAAAGTAAAGCATGACACAGTATAAAAACTAAAAAAGTTCAAATAACTTAGATGCACAGTATGTAACTTTCTGGCACTAGGGGCCACCACATCTAAACAGTAACAAAGAAGTAGTTTGATGATGTCATGAAGTAGCAAGGGGTAACTAGAGAGGATGTCTTCACCACCATTGCCTTAACTGTAGTCAGCTTTCCCTTTACTCCCTAACTTCAGATCCAGACATTCAGGAGGTTTTTACCAGGGGCCGAATTGTCAGCAGAGGTATCCTGTCCAAATCAAACGGCCCTCCTTGTGACTAAAACTGGTACAAACACTCATCAAATGGTTTCACACTAAAAATCAGTGTTTCTCTGATGCTGTTCGACAGACACCGGATGCTGCGAGCCATAGCAGCCGCTAACGTTTGTTCAGCTTGTTTTGTTGATAAATTAAGATCTGTGACTAAAATCCTTTATCTGGTTAAAATATACAGTTAAAAAAAGGACCAAGACCTAAAAAGCGTAATGTTAAAATGTGGCTTAAAATTGGATAAAGATTCTACTTATACGAGCTTCTGGCAGACAACCAAGAAGCTGATGCATGCGCAGAGGGAATGTAACGCCATTGACAAGCGACCAATTGAAATACACCGTTACCTTGAAAACTGATGGAAAGATCTGGTATAATGGAAGTACACAACTCAAAAAAAAAAATATAGGTCTAGTTGTTTTTAAGACATTTTGATGCAGAGAAGTTACATATTCTATCTTTAACAAGATTATAGCAGATACAATATGTACAATTTGTACAATGAGTAATATTTAATAAAACACTTATACATTCACCTATTTCTCCTCTTTCCATTCTATTAAATGTTTAATGTTCAATTAAAACGTTTATTCATTTGTAAAAACTGTAATTCTCACTTTATCTGGTAAGCTGTTCCAAAGTTTAGCCCACACACACATTTCAAGGATTTAGACCCAAAACTAGAATATCATTGAATTTTGACTATGCCTGGTATTATTTCTGTACTAGTCTCCGGTATGCTCAAACGCCAGTAAATGTCTGGTGCCTAGCCATTGATTCACATGACTTGCTGAAACTGAGTGAAACGCCAAGATCAGATATACATGGTTGTCATTCCTCATGTGAGTGCTAAACCCTGTTAAATTTACAAATGAACTTTGGTCATAAAACAACAGCCTTCTTAGGTGGCCACTGCCAAATCAGAGTTTGGCTTTAAAAACACATTTTCATTCAAGTCATTTTAGTTTCAAGCATGTTTTATGTTCTGGGAAAACCCAAATCATCCACACTCTGACGAACACACCAAAAGATAGAAATTCATCAGGAGGGAAAGACTATAAAGTTGGTGTTGCTTGTTTTCACGGGACAAAACAATCTGGATGACACTGCTCGTTTACCTCTGCTCTATTGAAGATGACATTTATTCTTTTAGTAAATACGATTGTGAAACAGTTATACCAATCCTGGTGTATGGACCTGGTTATAAGAGCTACGTAATATTAGCGAGCAAAATAATCTCATCTCTTTGTCAAATCTCTATGTCATGTCACAACATTTGACGAACAGCGAAATCCGGTTGATGGTTTTTAGATAACCGTTTTGCTAGGAAACTGCTGTTATCAAACTTTCAGTGCGGATAAGCAAGTATACTCAAAAGTGCCTACCCTGTCAAGGCTGCACAATTCTCTAAATTTTATTTTAATTGTAGAAAACTTCTTCTTAATTTGGATTTTGCCAGTTGAGGACTACTTTAAATAAATGCTTATGAAATAATCAAATGTCTTTGTGTACCACTATCTTTAAAAATGAGGTTTTTAAAACTTTTATAATAAACACAAGCTCAGGCTTTAGACTGCTCTGAACACTTTTTTGCTGAGCTGATGTCAGATCGGCCATCCACCTACTATGTCTTTCTCAGTTATGCTTTCTCCAGCACTAAAGGGAAGTGTGTACGTATGGCAATCCAAGACTCAGGACAACTCTTCACATCTTTGGAGGTTCACAGAAGGAATGTGGGAGGTTGTAAAGGAAAGTTAGTTACTTTCTTGATGGACATTTCTTGTTGCTAAAATAATCGCCAACTACTGCTAACAGTACCCACCATTAGCTAGTTGGCCATGCAGCTAGAGGTCCCATTAGCTCAGTGCCACTAGCTTCAAAACTAACTGCCCTAACTAGCTAACAGCAGCTAATGTTACAGTTCTAGAAACTTCAAAAAATATTATCAGTTTCAACCAAATCTGTGAATAAAGTTACAAAAGCTGTGTGTTTTTATAGAGTAATCAGTCAGGCCCCACGAATGTCTGCCAGGCAAAGTATATCTGGTGCCTACACCGCCTCCCAGAAACACATGCAAAGCTACTCTAGTGGAGTAGTTAATTCTAGTGCCCAGAATTAAAATATAGAGATGGAAATTAGGGCTGAACGATTTGGAGAAAAAAATCTAATTGAGATTCTTCTGCTAGATATTGTGATTAAGATTTGCGATTTTGCGAAGTTTAGCTAAAGTTCAGTATTCACTGCCAGTCTATTTTTGACGGAACTTGCCTTGTCAAACAGCACCGAGCAGATGAACCGGGCAGGAAGTCACTGAACGGCATAGAGAATCCAGCTGATTTTCAAAATAAAACACCCTGTGCAGACTCCCAATCATGTATCAACAATAAACCAAGCAGGAAGCTTCCGGTCAGCAAATCGATGCAAATGCGGAAGTCCCTTAAACCTGCATTCTATTGAACGGCCAGCAAGGGGCGACTCTTCTGGTTGTAAAAAGAAGTCTGGCTCCATTAGAAATAATGGCAAAATGATCCTACTCCTCAACTGAATAATTACCTCCGTACATTTACATTTATTCATTTAGCTGACGCTTTTATCCAAAGTGACTTACAATTGTTATATATGTCAGAGGTCGCACGCCTATGGAGCAACTAGGGGTTAAGTGTCTTGCTCAGGGACACATTGGTGGATGTCACTGTGGGAACTGAACACGAGTCTCTCACACCAAAGGCATGTGTCTTATACACTGCCCCTTCACCACCCCATAAACACTCAGTAAACACTTTCCTAATGAGTTTATGGTCTCAGTCGCTAGTTTAATGTCTTCTTCAACACAGCATGATGTTCATTTAGTAAATTACTTAATTAATTAATTAATTTTAAAATAGACCATAAAGCAGAGTATGCTTCAGGCAGGATTATCTATGATTGACAAGGCGTTACCATGGCGACCTGTCATTCAGGCTACAGTGACTCGTACGGCACTGTGTTAATTTAACCAGCACCACTGAAAAAGCTTATTATTAGGAGTTCGCTGTTCACTTTCTCTGGTGAGTACATTTTGTATTAAGCCCGTTTTTCACTACACAAAGTTGTCAGCCCTGTTAAAATGCCACTTAAGGTGAATTGACCCTTTGCTAAGCCACGCCCTGAATACTCAGCTGGCCAATTACAGCGCAGTACAGGACTCGCTCTAACTGAGGTCTGACACTTTCATGGCTGCGCTCCATTGACTCTAATGCAAAAAGATTTCTAGCTTTTTTTGGCTGCATTTTTCTAAGATCTGGTCAAACGCTGTTCCTGGGGCATCTTGTAATAGTTATAGTTGCTACCCAGATAGGCTGAAAGGAGAAGTATGATTTATTCTCTTTCCAAAACCTAAAATAAAGAGATTGCTTTTGCCAGCACATTTGACAGTCATTCTCTGGGGAGTGCATTAACAGACAGTGGCAGCGCAGGCAGTTTGTCGGACTTAGCAACAGTAACTAAGGGGGGCAGGGCTTAGCAAAGGCTCCATTACAGATGCACCTAGCTAATTTAGCTAGCTAGTTCCGCACACGGCCGATAGATCCATGTTAGCAGCACAAAAATCAAAGACAAGCGGACAAATCAACAAAACCTGAACAAGTCAGCAAAATCAGGCAGGCAAACCACTGTAATTCTGAAATGGTCCATGTGGGAAATGTAGCCTGCGGAGAGCAGCACAAAACTCGTTCAGAGAGAGCCGTTATCCGTAGTTGAAGCACAAGAAAAGACAAATTAACAGGCCGTCAACAACGTAGGGCACACTTAACGCTCCGCTGCTGAAACACTTCACTGCGAGTTGACGCCGGACAAAACTGTGGCACAGCCGCTGCCTGTTTCTGTTCAGCTGATGCCATCATCCCACGTTTTCATCTAGCTTCGTTTGTTGTTGTAAAATGTACATGCCCTGTGCCTGCTCTGATTGGCGAGTAGGACCATAACAGGAGACGCATGGCGCTTGTGGTTGGCAAGCAGGTCTGTCACACAAGGATGAGAACGGAATGAATGTAACTGCATGACAGTTTAAAACAAATCAGATGCGCTGTATAATTAACCTACATTTTAACCACTGTCTTCACGATTAACTAATTGTGTTCTTTCAAACTGCAATTTCGATTTGAAAACGATTTGGCCCTACTGGAAATGAGGGTAATAGGTCGCCTTTAAAATCCATGGGATGTCCAGTTCAAAGTCCATAACACTAGTGTGCAGCAAGTATGGGGTGCAAGTGTCATTGACATTGGTGTGGGAACATGGAGACTCAGTTTAATTTAGCATGTGGAGCTCAACAGAGACTGAACAACAGGATCTGGTTATTGTTTAGGGGTACAGGGGGAGAGCTTCTGGCATGGCCAAGAATCCCCTCTCTTCCTCTGGTACCCTACAGACACAAACTGAATGCTCAGTGAAGACTGTTGCTGCTGGATACTAATGAAGCAGTGTGCTCACTGGGAGCAGTGAAACAGTCCCTCTCATCTTCAGGCGCCCTCTGATTAGTCCAAAATGCAAATCCTGCCTCTGCCCAGGGATCTTCAGGGCAACAAGCCTCCAGTAATTACTGCTCAACAGTTAAACATTCAACCACCTCTTCAAAAACAAGAGACTGCTGAAAAGCAAGTGTTGCATAAGCCTGTCTGGTTTACATCATGTGGCTCACAGATGTTTGCTCATCGTTTGTTTGAGATACCAGTTTCTAGGGCACTTTAGAATAGTTTGAAGCTTCATTCATAACGTTGAGATTCAAATTCTGAATCAACATTCAAATGCTCAGGGCAGCTTTCTTTTGCATGTCTATTCATTCGGTTTAAACCTGTTTTTTTCTGCACAGTTGCAGATAAAGATTAGGCTACACTAATATTAGTATTATACTATCTGTAGAATAAGATTCCAGTGGTGGCTGCGTAGGATTGTTTCCATTTTATTTCTCTGAAACGCTGCTTTGTTTTTGCTAATGCTGCTCCCTCTCTAGCTTGCTTGACCACCGCTGCTCTTGCTCTTTCGATCGTTGAGACGGGGCAAACTTTCAATTGCGTGTTTACAAACCGCAACAGACAAATCCGACTCATTTGGCCTTTACTTAACAAAAGCAGACTCATTTATTCTGATGAATCACTTTATTCAAATTGAGGATTTTGCATTTTTTGTTGACGTCATAAAATATGACCACATATGAAGCTCTGTTCGAAAACCTTAATAGAAGCGTCAAATGTAACAAGAAATTATGAATTTCAGTACAGCCCTACAGTTTCCACCCAAAGTGATTTAAATTGGTAGAAAAAAATGTGTAGGTAAAAAAAAAACAGGACAGGAGTTCAATAAATACACAGAGCTTGCTGAAAAATAGCAAGCTACTGTCAGAAAAAGGAAAAGTATTAATATACCATCCCTGCTGGTATGAAATAAAGCATAGCATCATTATGAGTCATCTTAGCACTCAGGATACAAAATAGATTTGTTTTTGAGAAAACAATCATCTGTGGATTTTAACTAGCCTAGTGACAGATGATGTTGGAGCATTTTTCCAAAACAAAAAGGTTTCGTTTTGGAATGAAAGTCCTCTAAATAAAGCTGTTAGAGTTGCCTGTAGCAAACACTTAGATCACACTACTCTGCGCTGAGGTGAATGTGTGGTGTGGGCCTGGCAGGCATTGGTGCTGTGGCCTGACAACACACACCAGTGACCCCCTGATAAGCCTTTTCAACAAAGAACTGGTGCTCAGACAACACAACAGTTTGATGCCCTTTTCATATTTCTCAGTCCATTAGCACTTGGCAAGACATCTGCCTACACACATACACAAAAAAACAAACAAACTGCGTCACTCGCTCATCTGATTAGAAATTCAATCATTCATAGACACTGATGGGGCCTTGTGTAGTCCCAGTTAATGGGAAATGTTACTCTTTGGCTAGGTTTCCAGAGAAGAGAAGTGTAGGCGTATGAACATATTAACAAACTTTTATGTCAGTTTACATAACAGTGTGTCTATGTGAGAGTGCGATATATCTAGGCTTACCGAGAGCATCGGGGTGGTAAGGAGACCCCATGCAAAAAACTCCAGGAAAATGACCACCACAGCATGGTAAACACTGGGCTCACCGATTCCCTGAGGCTGGATGGAGACAGAGAGAAACATAGGAATTAAACTGTAATTAGGTGTGAAGCAACAAACATTTTTAAATGCCTCAAACTGCCCGGTAATGATATAACATTAACAGACTGAACCTTAAACTGGAATCCATTTCATGGCAGCATTCGCTTAATGATACAAAGACTCTGCATCACCTGATCCTGTGGGACAGCCAGCAGCTGGGTAAGAAAAATAACTCAACTGCAAGAAATTTTGACTTACCAATACAGTTAGTGCAGGGCTGAATGTTGAATTAAACAAGCCACCAATCATATTAGAATCACTATAACTAATTCTTTTCAGTTCCTGAAACTACCCCCAGTCAATGACTCTATACTGCACAATATTTCATTAAAAATTTTAAATCAATTACTTTTTAACCTAATAGGTAAAATAACCAAATAATCTGTGTATAGTTTTCTGGGTCACTCTAAATAGAGACCTATATCTGGGGTTGTAGCAGTATACTGGTTTCATAGTACGGTCAATATACAACTACTACTACAGCAACAACTATTACTACAATTTTATTATTATAATAATTGTGTAATACCGTATACTGTGATATTTTCTGAGACAGTTATCATACCATGAAAATCTCATACTGTTGCAACCCTAATCTGAGTAAAACACAAACTTGCATAAAACCCGCTCCCTGGAGAAGATGTCACTTTACTGCAGCACAGTAAAATCTATACAAGTCTGTAAAGTGAAGAGAAAGTGTTATGGAGTTAAAACGGATGTTTGGCAGGAAACACAGCGAGGTGCGATAATTGTGGAGACTGTAAAGTAGGCCAGGACCAACGTAACAAAGACCCTAACTGCTAGTTTACTCGCCCATGTGGTTTGTCATTTCCCCACGTGGAGAGGATGAAAACATAGAAGAAAACCAGTTTACAGGTCTGGTTATGACCAATTAGGGAGTAAACACCAAATCATAGGAAGCTTCCACCCTTTTTGTTCCATAAGCCCATGATAACACCACCTATTTTACTGAGAAAATGAGGAACAATCTGTAACTGTCTCATTATATGGATGTTGCAACTTCCCCTCCCGTAAAAATGACCAGCTACGTCTTTCGAGATCACATTTTGCAATTGACTGGTGAGTGTCTAAGTCTATTAGATGCTATGGCTGGATCAAGGGCTGGATGTGGAAAGTTAAATCTTAATGGCTAAGTGGTCAGACCTAGCTGCAGTAATACAGTTAGGCAATAATGACCTGAACTTAGGACTTCATTGGAATAAAGCCACATGATGTCAGGTGTTTGCAGACACAAGACTGTCACAAGGATGACAGGACAATGTTCAAAATACACATCAGTTTCTGGTCATTTCCATTTGGATTATAACTGTGTCTTCATAACGGATATCCAGCATGATTGGCATAGCTGTTCAACTGATTACATAACCAGCACTGATGCCCCACTGTATTTATAACAATCCTAACATCCTAAATTTTTGCCAACAGCCTAAATTGGGAGAATCATCACTTCCAACAGCTAAATTACCAACACAACTAGAATCCTGGATTTGATAGTTTGTGGACTATTTGATCTGTCTATTGAGCTAGAGAACTTGGGTGCTTCCAGGTAAGGGCACCTTATCACACTGTAGGACGGTTTTAATCATACATGGACTACAGGTGTCAATGACCCAGAAAAGGGATTATAAATGTGTCACAACAACAAGCCATGACTGATATTTAACCAATCATTTACACCATATGCTCAACAGCCATAGTATAATTTAACAACTGATAGTTTAGCTTTGGCAGCGACAGTCTATGTTTTTAAACGGTGTGTTTGTTTTCAACCAACGTTAAGTTACCAAACCCAGAGTTTGAATGTTTTGCCTTCGTCCATTTATAAACCACAGTAAAGATCTCTTTTGTTTTATGTTAATATACATTGCTTTGACTCTTAACCAATAAGCTAGGTAACATTAGTACAAAAATAGCTTAACGCTAGCTAACGATAGTTACCTGTATATTGCACCAGGCCAGGGTAAAAAAACAACCCCAATTAAACATATGTGCTAGTGAGCTAATGTTAACCTGAACGTTTGTGCCCCTAGTGATGCACGGATACATAATTTCTACAAGATTTGAACAAACATGAGATACCATTAACAATACGTGCTGATTTAAGTTAGATATGATCATATTAACGTTAAGTGTAAAAGATTTACTGTGAGGAGACAGTCGATAAAGAAAAAGACAGCTAACGCTGACATTAGCCAGCTAGCGCTAACGTTACCAGAGCTGACGTGTTAACGCCTAGCAAACGTAGGCCGCTAACATTAGCTAATGCTAGTTCATTGCTAGCTGTTTATGCTAGCCAGGTAGCAAGGCGGACCCAGCTAACGGTTAACATTATCCGCTGTGGCAAACCATCGAAGACAGAAAGCTATAAGCAAATGCCGCTTCAACTGCTAAATTTTCATTTAATAAACGATGCTACTAACTAACTTCAGCGGCTGAAAGCCAGTTTAGCTCAGCGGCAAGCTAAGTTAACGAAGATAAATAAATATTTAACTCACACTTCCTCCATCTTTTATTATAATTTTCTTTGCAAGAAGAATGCTGCGGTTCAGCCGCTTTTTCTTCTTTTTCTCCCCCGTCATTGTTAACTTATGTCCATACTTGATGTCAGAGGGTCATCTTTGCACCTAACAAAAGTTAAATAATCTACTGATTTCGGCTACAACGCTAATAACAGCTCAGCTTCAGACAGCTAGCAGCGGGCTAACTAAATGATGATTTCTCATTCCCACCTCACTTCAACCCGTCTTCCTGAACTAAGCATTGACCCGCCCTTCCAATGGAATAGCGCTTAACGATTGGCTGACTGATGAAGGCGATAGTCCAAACTGTGGGTCTGATTGGTTTAGAAAAACCTTGTGCTATTTCTCCTCAAATGGTGATTTGTGAACATCACACCGCGGGTTCGGTGTACAAAGTGGAAATCCCTTATATGGTGAGTGGCTATGTTTACAAAGAAAATGTACGAGATGTGCAGCTACTTCAACAAACCTAATAAAACAATGCGGTAATAGCATAGACATATAATACAGATACTAAAACTATTTTTTAATGCTCCCATACCAAACATGTTTGATATCCTCAGCACAACATCTTTAAATGCCTCCAAAATCCACTCTGGTCACCAATCAATGAGAAACACACATAGCCGATTTCGTTAATCTCAATTAAATTGTTGGTATTAAATAGTATAAAATACTTCAGTCTACCTTTACATACACTTCTTTTCAGATTGGTCTTGAAGTATAACTTCTATGGCATAGATAGATTTTCTGGTATCTGGTTAGATGTTCTGATACTTCTGCTCGTTTATATGTTATTATATTATTTTATCTTTATTTTAAAGACCTTGTCAGTCACTATTTTGTCTCTTCATGTTTTCATTTTGAGTATTGTGTTTTCATTACACATTTCATTAAGTTATACGTTGTCTAGATTATACAGAAAATAAAATGCCAGAACAAAATTTAAAACTAAATATAACTACCATGTCTTAAAAATATAATTGGGATGACTATGTATTGCAAACACCAGTTTAAATAAAAAGCTACTTAAAATAATTACATAGTGTGGTGGCACAATGTGTTAGAAATTCATTCAAAAGTGGCACAATGTGGCACACCATCAAACAAAGCTGTTTTCTTTATGTTGTTATTGTTATGAGGGATTAAAAATATGTTAAATTCGGTAGGCTTTAATTAGGTTCCATTTACGCACATTAGACTTTGCGCAAAGGTCATCAGAAGTGACTGAACTGAAACTATTTTAAACTTTTAATTTATCTTTGTAAAAGATCCATAATTTAGAGAATAACTTTGGAAATTGATGTCCAAAAAACCACATTTCAGAATGGAAAAGAGAGGTGTTCACTAAGTTTTAGATTTCTGGGAAAAGGGAAATTATTAAAAATGAAACCTCTTGTGCTGGGAATCTGCTACAGGGTGCGTGCAGCTATTAGAAATCTATAGTGAGTCACTACAAAAAAGAGAAGTTTGCACTTTTAAAATGCACACTTAAAACTCAAACTAAGGATGTAGTATCATAAAGAATCAGAATAATTCAAACTGTTCTAACCTAGAAAGTAGTTCTAGTTTAAGACCAGCAAATGGTCTAAAAGGTTTTAATCACAGCATTAACTTGATTGTTTGGAGCTCATATTTGATTAGGATTCTTGACTCAAATTGATAATTGACAAGGTATTACATTTTTATTATATATTTAACCATAATCAAACACTTTGGAATGTCAGTTACATTAATTAAAAAAATCTGTATTTCTCTCAACTTCTACCTTAGGTACAGTCTTGCAATTTCTTCACATATTACAGTAGATAAGTTTACATGGTGGTTTCATATTTCATATTTAATGTAATTTGTTTTGACATTAAATCTCTCTTAACTTGTCAAAAATGTAGTCTGTCTAGTATAGCATAAACATTAACAGTAACACATCATGGAAGCAATGTAAGACTGATCCATATTCAAATAACCTTTCATGTTCATTTTTATTTTGAGCAGTTTTTCACAAGCTTTCTCCATCATGTACGGTATACGGTTTTTCTGCAGTGTTTCCCACAGGATTTTAAGAGACTATGGTGGGTGGGCCTCAGACCCTCTTGGTAGGTCAGGGGGCATGCCCCCCGGAGGAACATTTTGTACATTTTAAAGTAAAATGCAATAATTTGGTGCAAACTTAAGAGGCTATCTATGAAGAACTTTGTATGCTTGTAAACAATGTTGTGCTCTAATAAACTATTTGATCATAAACCCATTGTAAAGCTATAAATGGTGATGAAACAGCAACAATAGTCAACAAATTTATTTAATGTTTTTCCAAAAAAAATAATGTTGTATGTGGTTCTCCTATGGTGTAACCATAGACTGTATATAAAAATTGATAATGTGAAGACTTCACAGCCTCTCTTCCGGTAGGACTCCCATATCTCAACACTTGTCTTTGTAAAGAGACAAACTGACTGCCTGACAGCTCGCTCTGGGCCGTTTCACTTACCATAAAGGCTTGAATACATGTGCACTCCAAATTTAGGTGCGGCTAGTTTAATCGCCTTCTCACCTCACAGACGAGTGACAGAAACAGACCGTTAACGTTACCGTAGTTACCTCGAAAGAAAAGTGGTTGTCTCGAGTCGAATGCCAAAGTATGCGAGCGTGCGAGCTCACAGTAGCGCGCAGCAGCGACGAAAAACACAGCGTTAGAGGTCTGAAATGTAATTATGAGATGTGTAAAAATATTTTCGTTTCATTTTGAGACTATGGCGGGCCGCCATGGTCTCGTTAATTAATGGGAAACACTGTGCTGTCTAGGTTTTTAGTTGTTTTTTTAACCATAATATACCACATCCAGTGCCATCAAAGCTGCATTATTTGTTAAAGTCCATTTATTTCAATTGGTGACAAAAGTCAAACTTGAAGGATGCTCAACCCAATACGCATTATTCCTACCACTTATAAATCTACAACCATGCATATTTTAACAAAACCAAAACAATGCACTTTCAAAACGTTTACTTGGTGAAACTGCACAGCCTTGCAATACCAACAAAAGTGACAGAGGGAAGTATTTTCAGTCAGTCTATAAGGCAGCTATATGACTATTTTCCTTTATACTGAATTAGGGGTTAGTCACAGCGGTATATACCAGAGGAAAATGAAAAGCAGACAACTGAAATGTTTCAGATGCACAACAATACAACGTCACACTGTACAATAGAGAATCACTTTGTACACTTGCAAGACATCTTTTTTCCCCACATCCTCCTCATGTCCTGTTTTCTAAACACAGCTGTTGACGGCTTCATAGAGCTGGTCCACAATACCTACCTTTTAAAAATATATGTGCTCTACAATTCTGAAATATGTTTAAAATCTCATACAGTGTGTATTGGTATAAATAAGTCAACTAGTCCTTGCTGTTAGGTCTTCTCCAGATCTGTATCTCCGTATGATCTCCGTATGATCTCCGTATGATCTCCCATTACATACATATAAATTCTCAAAGCACTTTGTTTCCATAGCAGCATTGACAAATGAACATTTCTATAAAACTAGGCACACAGTTACTTTTCACACAAGTCTTAACATAACAAATGCCAATACATATTTGAGAATAGTCCAATTATTACAACTTTTGGTGTTATGCTCATCTTACATCTTCATCATCATCGATGTAAGGGATATCCATGTTGTCAAAGCTCCCATTTAAAGTCTTACTGGTGACCTGGGGCTTGATGGCTGGGGAGTTGTCTTGGCTTTGAAGGAAACACATGCTTTGGGTAACATCTGTCTTTTGTCCTGATGCGAATTCCCTTGGTTTATCATCTGTTTCAGCCATTAGACTTCTGACTCTCTGCGCCAGGTCCGGAGGTTGGGGAGGACAGTCAGGTATCTGGGTTTTCATTTGCATGGTCACCTTTCCTGGTAATAGAAACATCAGATTAGCAAACATAGAAGGCCCTGGTGAAAAAAAAAGCAGTGTAATCCTGCAGCTGAGTTGACACTTGCTGGACCACAATGCAACGTCATCCACCACAATGTTGTGATGGCCAATCAAATACGCACAAGCACAAATGATATATATACTCCAAGTGGACTTCCTGGATTGTATTTTATGTCTCACTGGTACCTAAACATCATGCCCCCACCGCCGCAGTCCCTTAGGTAATTTTAACACAGGTATGAAAAAACTATATAATCACATTAACCTTTTTAGTGAGTTATAGAGGAAGGTGAAGGTACCATACCTCCCTACTGACCTTCGAAGTCAAGGCTCTCCAGGCTCTCCATGCTCATTGATGACAACGAGTCCAGGTTGTCATTGTCAGAGTTCTCCTGTTCCAAATCAGGTAACCTGCAGGCCAAGTCCACCCTGAAATTAACAAAACAAGATATTATTTTTCAAATTAATTTAAATGCATTGTGCACAGTCCACTTATCTCCACTGATTCTTTTTAGCTCACTTTTCTTGCTTGATGGACTTGATCCTATTTATGAGGGTTGTCTCTGTTTCATCCAAATGCATTTGCTCTGGAACCGGCTGTGAAGGCTTTTCAACAACCTGCACAGAGATCAGATGTTAAATAGAGACACTGGCTCCAAATCCAAACCAAAACTGAGCTGCTCTGCAACTACTGTAATCTACTTTTTAGAATGTTTCAGAAGTTAAGCTATCGATACTAAACATATTTATATTTTTAGGAGTTTTTCATTGTTTAATCTGTACATTAAACATTAGGTGACTCTGGCTAATTCTGGCCACCTCCCAGGTGTAAATGTATGGATTAATATCAATATAAAGGAGGATGGTAACTTCCTGAATCTTACTTTTATCAGATTTATATTAAATTAAACAGTACCTGGTGGCAGAAGTGGATAATCAAGACAGCACTTGACAGTGAATTTACTACATTTCTGTTAGTTGGTATACTTTTTCCCGTGGCATAATCTGTGCAATATTCCAGCCAGTTTGACTTAAAAACAAAATTTCTGACAGAGGCTCTCAGTTGTTATTTCATGATGCATCTTCCTTTGGCATTGTAGTTCTTTCTCACCGTGTTTTGTCTCCTTAGTCTGAGCTGATTTACAGCCATGGCCTCTGCGTATTCCAGCTCCTGGATATTCTGCATCTTCTCATTGTAGCGTCTGAACTGCTCAGTGATCAGGATCTCCACACACCTGCAGACGACATGGTCAAAGATGAATATATCCCCATAAAAACAGTCCATATCTAGAAACACAAACAGTATTGTGAAGCTGGCAAGAAATAAAGAAATACATATAATAAAACGTCTTGAATATAGTGTTATGGAAGTGTGAAGTCTGACTCACAGTGTAGTCTTGGACACATCATTCATACCAAGGAAGGGGTCATTGACATCAGGTGAACGCAGGATGCAGGGGGCAAACACAATGGCGAGAGAGCTTGGTGACATCTTATTGTGCTCTTCCTCCTTTGCAACCCTAAAAAGACCCACAGATCAAGACCCCTCAGAATCAAATAATCACCATGAAGAGTGGAAGATTCACTGCAACATTTTAGAATATAGTGGAAAAAATTATTTTTTGGCAACACACAAGCATTAACTTTAAAAGAGTATAAACAGCATAAGGGAATAATAGAGATCCTCCTACCTGACAAGGTGAAAGATGAGCCGCTCTAACGTGTTATAATTAGCGGAAGGAAGTTCATCAACCTTTGTGTATACAGCCCTAATTCTCTCAGCGCTTTCTGGCAGCTCTGGGGGCAAACAAGCATGGAGAACAATAAACTTAAAAAACCTGACAAGAAGATCACAAGTAGAGCTGAAAATGAAATCTGCATCCTTTTTGATAATAGGTTAATCTATTAGTAGTTTTTTAAGCAACAAAGCAAAAAACACCTCACTAGTTACAGCTTCTCCAATGTGGCTATGTCTTATATTATATTAATATGTATTTTATATCATTTTAAACTGAATATTTTTGAGTTATGAACTATTGGTTAGGCAAAACAAGACGTCTGTAGATGTCACCTTTGCCTCTGGGAAACTGAAATTGATATTTCTTTGACTATTTTCTGATGGACAAAAATGATTCATCTACTAACTGAGAAAATAATCTGTAGAATGATCAATAATGAAAATAATTAGTTGCTGCCTGCAGTGTATAAATAGGTAAGTGACTTTATGGCACTAAAAACATGGGCAGCAGCAGTGGTTTTCTATTTCTAGTAGCTTATTTCATCATTTTAATTGTACTATGGGCAGCCGTTAATATACCTGGGTGGCCCGTCCTAGTAAAGTCTATGTGTGGGAAACACTGAGCTCATTTATCAGGAATGTACTTGAATGCAAAACAAGGGGGAAAAAAAATGCATAAATGCACACCTTTCTGGTTTACACTAATAACATCAATATTTACTCACCTGTGGCATGTAGAAAGTCGCTGTAGAGGGAAAAAGTCATGAGGGGTTCTGGCAGCTCTCTGAGCCAACGTTTAACCAGACCTGTGACGGTGTGGATGGGGAAGTTCTCTAAACATGTTGCCTCAGGATCTGATGCCACAAGACAGAACACACGCACCAAAACATTTAAAATAATTTTAATATTATGTGAAATCATTTTTCAGTCTACACAGTTGGTTGACAAAGGATATGACAATATTTTATCATCATAAAGACAGATTTATAGAGTTTTAAAATTGCTTTAAAAATACAGCATACAAGTTATGATTTTCCTTAATTTGAACTTGAACTATTAAAAAATTAATAAATAAACACAGATTAACAGAGGAGACCAGACTAAGAAAGACAAAAAAAGAAAGAAAATGGAAATAATCTGAGTGTCCCTGTGGTGGATAAAGAAAAAGGTTCCGGGGAACTAAAAAGTTGAAGAAAGTATAAGAAAATTCCATAGACTATGTGTGTCCTTGCTCCACACCAATAATGCCACTTAATAAAACAAGAAACATAATGTTATGTGAAAGTCTGACCGATCAAGTAGACTGTAGCTGACTGGATTTGTTGGGTTCCTCAGACAATATTTTGTACATTTCAATTTTCAAGAATTTCTTCTTACCAGTCTCCAGAAGCTGGTGGAGCTCCCTCGCTCGACAGGCTGAGCCCGACTTGCGGTAAATACCCTCTGTGTAGAGGCCGTTCAGCTCCACATGCATCAGCAACATCTCTACCACTTTGGGCACAGGGTGGGTTTTACTGGTAAGGATACACACCTGCACCCCAAAGTGAACAGAGCCTGCTCCATGGTCGTCCTATCACAAGACATAAGAGATTTATGGACAGGGAGTCTTGAGAAATTAAAATGTATGTTGCTAGAGTATTGCTATCGTAGTATACTATTTGTAAAAGTATTATAGATGTCTGCTTCTACCTGCTTGGCACACCTCTTCGAGCAACCTGTCATGATTTTGTTCAGGCATTTCTTGTGGCATATAAACTTGCAAGCTAACATGAAAAACATTAGAGAAAAAAATTTGTTTAATTTAATCGTGTCCCTCCATCATTTGTTATTTTCATTTTCTTACAGCTCTTTGAACTCACCATTGCACATGTAGGCCTTCTCCATTCCCCAGATGTAGGAGCAACACAAGTCACATGACTGCATAATGTTCACCTGGTATGTGCTGAACAGGTGATCCAGAGGACTATTAAGCTGCAGAGAGAGGATGTAGAGACAATGGACTTGGATGATTTACCTGGCTGTACCAGATAATGCAGAAACTTCACAATACCGGTAAAGATATTCAACTTACACAGGTGTCGTTTTTCCGCCTCTTCTTCGTCACCTTGGAGGCCTGAGAGAAGGCAGAAGTGAGTTATATGACTGAGTCATGTGATCAAGTAGTTTAATGACAGATGACTAACTGAAATTCTCAAAATTACCTTGGCTGGTTCAGTTTCCACTCGTTTTATCTCGCCCCTAACAAAGCCGTCCAGCATAGACTGAAACAAATTGACCACCAGCGAGACTTCTTCCTTCTGCTTGGATCCTGCTAGTGTGTTCACTTTGTTGTGGTAGCCCATCATCAGATCTTTGTAGCTGATTTGGGGCTTCTGTTAGTCACAAAGTGTGTATGAAAAGTACAGTTAGGGACCACTTTCCAAGCCTCTTAATTTGGCTCGTTTGTAAGATTTTAACAGACTTAAGTGACTTCAACAGTAAAATAAACTTTAATTGATCTTTATTCTATATACTAACATCAGAAAAACTGTAGTAACTGATAACAGCAGGTCAGTTTGTTTTCCCACAATGATCATGAATGGTAGAGATGTGCTGGCAGATCCTACTAGATTAAACTGTATATTGTATAAAGAAGAAGCTGAACTGACCTGGACAGAGTACATGCCTTTGATGGTCTCTCTGAACTGCATGGTGGCTGAGAGGAAGATGCTCTCTGTTGGTGACAGCTCTTTGATTCTAGTTCGCAGCTCATTCACCTGAGAACAAAGGTGAGGAAGATGTAGAACAAAGGATTTTTTTTATTGGATAGGGACAGAAAGGGGTACGACATGAAACAAAAGGTCCCCCGCTGGAATCGAATGGGGGGACAGTTATGTGGCATGTGGCTTAAACTTTTGGCTAGCTGAGAGCCCCAGAATACAGGATTATTACAAAAAATATATACAATATTTAATGCCCATCCTGTACAGAGTGCTCGTGTTATTTTCCAAAATGCTAGAGCAGAGATCGACAAATAAGTCTGCCATGAGGCCAAATTTGGCTCATGCTCATGCAAACATGGCTTGCACAGTCAAATTATTTCAAATTGGTGGATACTCAATACTTGTGTACCTTTAGCTCAGTTGGTAGTGTGTGGGACTCCTGTTGGGAGGATTGTATGATCGATCCCAACATACTACCAATATTTTTTTTCTCCCTTGTTTAAGATCAGCATTCATAAACCTATGGACGCTTATTTTCATTTCCCTGAGGAAATTCAGGGGAATCCAATCACACGTTTACTGACGGCTTTTTCAGAGGTGTGTTAAGCAGGACGGAGACTCTTCTGAATGTCCTTCAGAACTTTTCAAAGTAAAGGCTCTCAATAAACTTGACATAAAGCATTGCTGCAAAAAATGTTCTCTCGCTTTTATTTTGAAGGCACAATCACTTAAGAGGAAGTGATTATGTGAGTAATTGTAGCTGTCATGACTGAGATCTATTTCAGCACCAGCCGCTATCAATTTATTTATTTTATATTTTTCGGGCTGGCATTGATCCTGTGCCCCTGCGGTAAGGACCTTAGTCTCTGTATATGGTGTGTGTATATAATGCCACTTTTAACAACACTGATGTTGTCAGTAATCCCTGGCACCTCCCGCCTTAGCCATTCACAATGCTCCATCCATAACAGCTGAATGTATGTATGTACTGCACATAATTAAAATTAAACTGCACATCTAGAGTACAAACAAGCAAGAGCCATATGTGTGTCAACATTTGGAAGTGCTATAAATAAAAACCAGAGTTAGCAATTTGCTGCTTTGGTCTCACCTGATTGCCGAGGAACTCGTCCAGGTTTCGCAGCTCTTTGGGGTCGGTGATCTCACGGTCCAAAGACACATTCCACTCCGTCACCCGTGTGGCCCGGCTAATTCGAATGGTCGGGTTTCGTTCGACCCTCTCACTGTTCTTATTTGGCATGTGGTAGGGATGTGGAGTGTAGCTGGGCAAGGTGACTGCAGTCAGATGAGGGAGATGTGGCATTATTAGTCTGACATGACTATTACAAGTTTAAACACTACATCTACTACAGTATATGTATAAGTGATGTATAGGCACTATATGTATATACACTTCTAAAGAAAATAAATATTTCTATATTCAGTAGAGCTTCTTCAAACCCCCCAAAATCATGTAGGCACATTATATTAACTAGTGAACAAGCATGATCAGTAAATATAGATTACCATGCAAAAAGCTATGACACATGTCATTGTTTCTGTAGACCTTAAGTTATTCACATTTACTTTATGCCACCTTACAGTGCACTTTAAATTGCCAAACTTAGAGTTCACTGTATATGTATATTTATTTGTAAAAACCTGCATTGCTTTTTACCGGTTTTATCGGACGGAGAGTCATTGTTCTGGGAATATTTAGGTGCTCGCTTTCTCAGGAATTTGCCAAGAAACCAAACCCTGTTGAAAAGACAGTCTGTATAAGTTCCATGCAGCAACATATCAAATACATTAAGTACTGGTAAAAACATAAAGCTCAGTCATGAAAACTCACAACCTTAAACAATTTCCTTTGAACTGAGTGAAGGGTTTTACCTATCAGGAGTTGTGGGTTGTGATTGGTTAGATCCCCATTGTCTTGAGTCCTCATTGGTACTCCTTGGTGGAAGGCTGAACCTTGACCCATCAAGTTCTGCTGGTATCTGCATGAGAATCAAAACATGCTTTAAGTCCAAGTATAAACTACTTGGGAACAAGAAACTCAAAAAAAACCTACTTTCCCAAGAAAACTAAAACTGCTGTTGATATCCCAAAAAACATGTTACTCCTGTTTCCCCACCATGGCCCTGCAGCAGCTGCACCACACCTCCCCCACCACTAAACCAGACAACATAAACATGATAAAATATCAGCACAATAGTGGTAGTCCTTCACCAATTTTTCATGCAAAGCTAGACTGTCACCTGCCACCAACTGAACTCTGACCTTTTTTGCATTAATTAGTATAAGTTAGTTCATTTACAGTATTAATAACATTGTGTCAGTGTGTTACAAACATTTATTATTTACACACACGCAAGTGAGATTTAATTGACAAATGTACAGATTCTAAATCTTATTCCTATGTTTAAACATTCATTGTTAGATGCGACTCGCTCTGTACACTAATAATATTTTTCACTTTTGATTTGGATTATCAACAACATGCCAGTATGTTTTCATTATTTAAAGTATAATTACTGCCATAACCTGAAGAACATTTATATAATAATTGGTTCATATGTACAATGCCATACACTTTAAGGTCAATACAGGTTGCCATGTATAGTTAAAAAGATAAATATGATTAAACTCAAAAGACTGTTGTACAAAGTCACAATCTTAATTTTAAAGTGACCAAACACTGACATAAAAACAATTGACCATATTTTGTAGTGAGCCTGTACCTGCTGACCTACAGCTCATTTGGGTGAAGAAACAAAAAAGATCAGAAATGAGCTTGGAAATAGGCTCTGCTCACTTTTTTATCCTGGGCTGCAGAGCAGAAAAAAGAAGTCCCAGAACATTGCAACCTTAAGTCAGTTCGGGGCATACATATGCAAGGCCTGCATGCAGAGGAGAGCCGTAGTTGGTCAAAAACTCTCTTTGGTCAGTACCTTGACCCGGATATCTTCGCTACTGGCCGAGCTCTTCAGGCTGGGCGCATTCGGGCTCATGGGAGGCAGCGGAAAGCTCCAGTACTCGCTCTCCTTGGACCCCCCAAAGTCAATCATCAAACCACTGCGGGTGTAGGCTAAGTGCCGCTTGCGTTTGGGCAGATTGCGGAAATGCACCCTGGCCTAATTGGGCCAGGAAAGGTGATGAGGCACAGATTGGGAGGCCTTATTTGATTCACGTGTAAGGAGTTCATGTGTTTGTCAGCTTACAGCACACTTAGTGCTTTGAAAAACCAATGTCAGCATTTCTTGTTGTATAGGACACTAACAACAATTATATGAGAAGCAAAAAGTAAAAGAGGGTTGAATGTTCTAGTCGAGTATGCAGACACAATGTTTTTGATTATGTAATAAAATATCAACGAAGGTTACCTGCTTGGTAGAGGGTGAGCTATCAGATTCTGAAGAGCTGAATTTGAACAGGTCATCAGCCGACTTGGACTTCCCTCTGAGCCTGTATTGAAGAAGGAAATAGAGCAGAGCTATTGTGGGACTATAAAACACTGTGCAATTATTGGTAACAGCGACAAGATGCATGTATTTTGAGAAATGATTGCCATATTTATATTTTGTCACAAGATAGACACAATAGAAAGAAAAATATAGAAACGTGTTCAGATTAGTAAAACACAATGAAGTTTTTGACATTATTAAAAGAGCTTGTTGAGGCCATGCTAACAGAGCTCCAACATTTGTGGAGAAAGAGTTTTTGAGTGTAGGACACTAACCGAAACTCATCTTTCGTATTGTCTCGTCGCCGTAATTCTGGACTTGAGTCATCACTTTGTCTTTCCTTCCACCTCTCGGCCTTCTCCTTGATGCCCCCCATATCTTTATAGCGCTGAAGTAGGATGGCCTTAGAGGGGCTGGTGGAGCGATGATCAACGCCAACTTTAGTGTCAAGTGGGAGCGAGAGGGGTCTGTTGTAAGTGTGAGGCTTCTCCCTGCTCCTGACCCTCTGCGAAGACTGGCCCCTGCAGGGGCTGAGCTCCATGCTGTGCTGCCTCTTTAGCTCTTTGTTTGTGAAGCTGTTATGTAAAAACCACAAAATCAGACTGGCATCACAGCAATGGTATATTATATTATGAATGCTAATGGTTTAGTATCTGTTTGGATTAATTTTACATGTAAAGTGAACAAGAACTATCTTGCCTAGTTAATATTAGTGGATAAATCCTGTGCAGATTTTAACCCATTTTAGCTTATCACACATATATTAGTATTGGCATGTTGGCCTGTATGTAACAAAAAATGTTTATGCTATATAATATTTAGCCACCAGAGAGCACTAGTTGTATATTATTCAAAAGTAAAATGTTTAAAAAACATTTGCTAACATTATGTGTTTGTTTAAAAAACATGCACACAACATTCACGGGCAGATAGACACGGCTAATGCATAATGGTATATAGTGTGGAACACAATGTCAATATAAAGAGTGACTTTAAACAAATCAGTGTTCGGGATTTGAGTTGAAGTTGTTCGGGC